CTACGGATTTATGACCTACACCACAACCGAAATAGATGTAAGAAAAGCTTACACCAACGCCTTCAACCAAATTACCGCAATCCCCGTCTTTGACCTGTTTGATATATGGAAACAGTTCAGCTACAAAGCCCACGATTACAGTAAGTTTCACGAACTGACATTATGTTTAGTAAAGCCGAAAGAGCAAGCATTGTTTTTTAACAAGGCGCATTGTTTGGTATATGGTAAATTTTTAAAGCACTACGCCGACAAATGNNTGCGAAATCCTATATTACAAACAACCTTCTTATAGAGTAGGTACCTGGGGGGTTAGGGCAAGCCATCGCAGCCTTTTGCCATTGCGGTCTCCATGGCCTGCTGGGCCTCCTCCCCTCGACGCCCTACCTATAGTCTCCATTGTAGTTCCTTTTTTTGGGTTAACCAAATATATATTAAGGATTTTATAAGGTATCCCCAAAAAGGAACTACAATGGAGACTATAGGTAGACTCCAGACTCGAAAGCTTCTCGGCACGCTGTTGCTGCGATAGGCTACCCAGAGGGCCCTCCATCTGCCGCAGTGCCCAGCAATTTCGACGTCCTGCCAGGCAGGGCAAAGGCCCAAAATCTGTTTGGAAGGTTTAGGGTTTAGGGTGTAGAGTTTCGATGTATGTCATTAGAATTGGGGCTTACACTCTCCTGGGTGCCCAGACCTGAACTCCTGGATCCCCGACACCAAGACCCTAAGCCGCCTGAGCCTACAACTCCTCACCTTTCCCGCAGCCTTCTATGGGCGCTACTAACAGGCAGCGAAGATGCCGAAATCTCTGCTCATCTCCGATGGATGTCGCAGAAGATGGTCCTTGGCCGCCGGGTCGAGACAGGAAGGGATCTTGTCGCTACCAGGATGATGATGATACTCGCACATGACTGTTCCTATGGCTGACGTTTCTGACCATAAAAACTGCCAGTGTGCCTGGGAAGCCGACGGTTCTGGAGTGCCCAACACTTCCAGCTGGCAACATGCCCTTAAAAGCCTTGAGGCATGTGTTCTTGGGTTGGTGGAGGTGCGCTGTCTCAAAGGTCTTACCATCAGCCATCAGCCATGTCCAAGACTTCTTCTCATGCGCATCATGAAAACCGTCGTCGCCATCATCGGACAGATCAGCACCACCTCTGTTGCCACCACACCGCAGGCGCCAGCACCACAATTGCCACCGCCACCATCACCTTCACCAGGAGCAGCAAGCAGCAGCGCCAACACGACCAGCACCACCATCATCTGCAGCTTGTCGCCATCAGTTCTCGCACTCGCCTGTGCCATTGTCGTCGTCATCATCGCCACTGTAGCACAGAAGAGACCGGGCTGCTTGACTTGATACTGCCGGTCTTCCGAGGCCAGGACATGCTCCTCCTCGGGCCACCAGGTTCACTGCGGCGCCAGCTGGCGCTGCGCTTCTGCGGCTCTGAACGTGAAAGCTTCGTCTCAGCAGCCCCAAACCTGAATCCCCCCGCCGCCCAAAGCATACAATTAAAGCAGGAACTTTACAGCAGCGCCGATCCCAAAGAAGCTACCTTAAACTTTAGGCCCTGCCTGAGCGCAAAAGGAAAGCCCTCAACTAGAATCCCAGAGCCCCGAAGACTTAAACCCTAAGTCGCAAACCGTGAAATTCCAGAGTCCCACCCCTCGCCAAACCACGAAAAACCCTGACTAAACCCTACAAACCCCTGGATTCCCCAAACAAACCACTACAACACCCTATAAACCCTTAGATTCCCCAAACAAGCCACTACAAAACCTTTTTCAACCCCTTAAGCCCTTAGACTCCCTAAAAAACATCCAGAAAAGGACAAAGGCAGAAAAAAAAGAAAGCGAGAGCCCAGGTGAGCTCGGAGGCCGAGAGGCCGAAGTTCTCACAGCCTCCCGGGCCCTTTCAGGGGTTTAGGGGTTTAGGGTTTAGGGTTTAGGGTTTAGGGTTTAGGGTTTAGGGTCTAGGGTTTAGGGTTTAGGGTTTAGGGTCTAGGGTTTAGGGTTTAGGGGTTTAGGGGCTTTGTGTTCAGGGCTTTAGGGTTTTGGGGCTGTAGGGTTTTAGGGCTTTAGGGCTGTGGGCTTTAGGGTTTTGGGGCTGTAGGGTTTTAGGGTTTAGGGCTGTAGGTTTTTGGGGCTGTAGTTTTTTGTGTTGACCCGTAGGCCCCATAGTAGTTCCTTTTTGCGGCTTATATTTAGGATCCTGTTAGGTCTTTTTTTTCGAAGAGGAGCTACTATGGGACTTATGGGTAGGGCTTTAGGGCTGTAGGTTTTCAGGGTTTCAGGGCTGTGGGGTTTAGGGTTTAGGGTTTTCTTGGTAATTGTTTTAGGGCTCATTTAAGGCTTCAGTTTTCGGGATGCTTTAAGGGGGTTCTAGGTTTTAGGGTTTAGGGCAAAAGTGTTTCTACAAGGATTCCTTTGAGGGCCCGTTAAGGGTATAGTACATTGGACGGTATCTTTAAGGGTACTGTAAGGGTTTCTTAAAAGTTTTCTACAAGGGTTCTGTAAAGGCCCTTTAAGGGTACTCTGTGGGCTCATTGCAGGCTTGGTTGAATAGGCTCCTTCTAGGGGTTTACGAGCTTTTTAATGGACTCCTTTTTCGGATTCAGGGTTCTTCTTTTTGAAGGGCTCCTCTTTCGATTCCGGGGTCACTTTGAAGGGCTCACTTTTAGGGTTTTGGGCTGAGGGATTGTTTGAAGGGTCCCTTAAAAGCTTCAAGGGAAATCAAGAGCTCCATGTAGGTTCCTTTAAAGGGGAGAGGGGTGGAGGAGATTCGGATTTGGGGTTTTGTTGAGAGTCTAGCGTTTTAGGGTGAATAGACGGTGATGAAAATGGGGGGGGGTTCTTTCGGCAAGGGTGATTGCACAACCAGACTCCTCAACTCCTCCATAGAGTGTCGGAGAGTTCTGCACGGAAAATTAGAGCAGTGCGGCTAGGTGTTGGACTGATTGCAGGGTTTAGGGAGCAGACGGTCGAAGAGTCTATTGTTTGGCTTTCACACTACTCGTAGATCCCACTGGTCTGCCCATGGTAGCTAGATCCCTGGAGTCCTGCTTCACTCCCGGAAGCTCCGAAACAATAGATTCACTGCAGCGCCACTGGATTCAGGTTACCCGCGACACAACAGAGGCAGACCTGAAACAGAGGAGAGAGCTGACCAGGAGCGCGTTTGTTGGATGAGGTTTCCATTCACACATGCATACAGCATGCGCTGAGTGCAGGAATGCTGACGCCTGACGGGCGAAGCATGGGCAAAGTCAGCAAATATCACCTTAAAGGGTCTCACTGAGAATACCAGGAATGGGGGCAGCAGCGAGACATTCTATGCCGACAGCGCTCCGGTTCGTGCTGCACTCTGCGGGCGGATACTAGCCCCTGGCATTGCAACAGATCTTCGGGGCCTGGGTTGGGGTCGCGGCCGGGTTTGTAATATGATACGAGTCACCTCTGCAACGGCAACTCTCCACACACTCCGCATCACACCGCCAGAGCCCAGACTGATAGCAAGAACCTGAAGAATCAGCACGATGCAAGGACCAGACCCCTTTACACGTGCCGTAGAAATAATAACAATAACAATAATGATAACAATAATTACGATTTTAATAACAATGACAATAATAATAGTAAGAATAATACAGTAATGTAATAGACTGTAACATTCGTGTGATCCGGCGCTTTGGTCATAAGGTCTTGGACGGCCTCGAGAAGGCGCCAAAGTCTGCCCGCGTGATCCCAAACAAAAAGCGTCCAGTGCCCTGGAATCGGACAGGTCTCTTTAGGGTTTAGGGTTTAGGGTTTAGGCAGAGTTCTCCCTAACATCTCAGGTACCCACTATATAGGGTACTGGAGCCCCTATAAGGGCCCTTTTTTTAGTAGGCACCTGGGGGGTTAGGGTCTGGCAGAGTAGAAGGTGCACATGTGTATGTGTATGTCTGAGTCTGTATGAGTGCACATCTTTAAAGTGAGTCTAATTATAGCAAATAAAAGCAGATGCAGAGAGAGAGAGAGAGGGTGGGACATGAGCGATGAAGTGAAGCCGCGTGAGTGGCCTGCGTTCTTCGCATGGCAGGCCGAGCGCAATGTTTTACCAACGTTGAACAACCTGCTGGAGAACCGAGAGATGGGTTTAGACGACGGCCGCCTGCTACTAGCCGCAAGCCTTGGGGAGGACCTGTGCATTGGAGCCACTAATAGTAACAGAAGTAGACGAGGTAGGTCGTACATTCCGCTGGTTGAGGAATTGCTTTTTGGCCAACTGTGGCGCAGGGAAGTGCAGCTTAGAGATGGCCGTTGCAATGCCTGACACTTACCCGCCGTATCATGGCCAAGGCTGATTCCAGCACGCAGATACGACACCCTGTCGCAAGAGGCGTTATCTGCCGGCGTAGGCGTGGCGTGCCCATGACTCGATCATTCCTGTCAGGTCTGTAGGAGTACAGTACAAGTCTAGTTATTGAGACAACTTTTCCTGAGAACCGTCCGCCCACAGACTACCCCCGCCTCTCGCAAATTAACCCCGCGAATTTTTGCCATGGGAAGGCAAAGCGCGGCTGGCTCGTGTCCACGAGGCCTCTTACTGGGTGTTCGTCTCCCGAGCCACGCTTTCGGTTTCGGGGAGGGCGAGTGGTTCAGCCGTTCTGAGGCCTTGTCCGACGTTTCGTGTGGTGGTTTTGGGGTGATGGCTCTGCGTTCGTCTGCACATGGGTCCGGCTTGTCTGCTGCTAAGCTCCAGGACTTTCGCGTTGTTGCGCTGGCCGTGCCCTGTCCGCCCTGGCCGGGGACTCCTGGCCTTTTCGGAACTAGTAAGGTGGCCGTTTCAAACTTTGTAATCGGTCAAGCACATCTAAGTCCTTCCTCTGCTCAAGGACGAGTTCAACGGATTCGATCCAGCCTGTCATGAGACAGTGACTTGTAGGTCGAGACCATGGATATCTGTGGCGGTCATCTCCCCCGAATCCCCGAAGTCAAACCCGCCCAGTCCAAAAGTGTTGCATGCCTTCTGAAATTCAGCTCTTTGCATATCCAAGGAATCCACTCGATCCTCCCCTGAGGCCGAGCTCTCAGTCGTAAAAACAGTCCTTCCGAACCCAGAAGTGCTCGAGTGAGGGTCCGGTGGACATTGCAGTGGCAAGTCGCGGCAGGTCGAGATTCCAGGCTCGCATCGCCACTGGTCTGCACCGTCTTGCATGGCGAGAGGTGTAGAGACTTGACGATACTGTTCTTTTCTGGGTCGAGGTGCCTGTGGACTTGTGACGTGTGGTTCCTCAAGACTCCTCAAGAGCCTCAGGGCATGGGCAAATCAAGTAGGCCTCTGCAGGAACTACCACTGCCAGCCAGGCTAAGCCCCTCACATCCAAACCCAATGCTTTCTTCTAAATTTTCCCGAAATCCGTACCCAAAACCAAAAAAATCCCGAAACGGCCCTGGCCAAGCCCAGAGCTTCTGCTCCCAGGTCATGCCGCCGACGTTGGCGTCCCTGGCGCAGGTCTCTCCCTTCCTAGGCCCGGGCCGAGAATTCAGGACTTCGGTTTAGGGGATTTAGTGTTTGTGTTTAGGATTTAGGGATTGGGCTCTTAGGGTTTTATAGGGATTTGGGGTTTAGGGTTTATCAAGGTCGGTGAAGGGCTTGGGAAGGAAGCTCCTCCTGCGATGATTTGCTGCGTTTAAGGTCCCTGGATGGCCAAGAAACCGAAGAGCCCTTAGAAGGATGGAAGCTACATGCACCTACAAGCCCGAGAACAGATAAGAACACCGAGCGAAACCCAAGAAGCCCAAGACTTTCTGAGTTTTCCTGGCATTTCCAACGTGAAATCCTGAGGTGTCCCAACTTCCAGCTCCGACTTCGAGGCACGGCCGGCCTCTGCAAGAGAGCCCATATGGGAGTTTCCGAAAATTCGGGTGCCTTATTTTGGGGTCCTGATAATAGGGATCCTACTATTTGGGGTACTATATTAGGGTCCCCTATTTTTGGGAACCCCCATATGAGACCTTGAGGGGAGCCCTTATATCGACAAGGCCCCCCCGCCCTTTGGCCATGGAGAACTGTTATATATCTATAATAACTTAATTGTTATCTTATTGGTGTNNACACCAATAAGATAACAATTAAGTTAGTAGAATGTAACTGCAAGAGCCCAGGCGCTTCTGAGGCGCCTCTCGGCGCTGCAGCGGGCTCTGGACGGCAGCACGGGAAAGCTGCCAGGCACAGGATTTTTTGTTTTCCACCATGCCATCGGTAGCTTGGGTGACTCGGAGGAAGTGTAAGTTTTCACTTCACTGTGACAACTTTCGAAACTTTGCGAAAAGAGCAACTGTGGTGGAGGTTTGAAAGTGTTATAGACTCCGACAAGAGCAGCAAAGCTCACGTGCTGGAGACTCGAGACGCCTGCGATGGAGTTTGTTTGGAAGCCGTGTTGCGTCTTTCATGACAGCCCACTCCGGGAGCACTATCACCACAATCCCAAGAGTCTAGGGCTAGGGCTAGGGCTCCATGCAACAGTCCGTCGGCGTGAGTTCGGCACAATGTCGTTGGAGTTTTCAGAAACGCCATCCCGATGGAATCCGAGCTTCGCACATGCGCCAGAGGTGGTTTCCGCACCCCGGCGCTGACCTACGATGCTTTGGTGAGGCTGCTACGGATGGCCCGGGGCCCAGTCTCTCATGTCTTTAGAGTCGCCCCGCTTCTCCGGGGCTCCTTGTAGTTGGTGTGGTGCGGCTATCAGTATAACGGCGGGTGCAGGTTTCGGAGCTCAGAGCAGACGGGTCGAATGTAGAAGCCTATATATATATATATATATATATAATTAGAACAGGGTTTTTGGGGGCCTATTCTATAACTATAGTAAGGAACCCCCAAAATAGAATAGGTAATTATTATGGCCCCTATATTGGGACCTGCAGCAACTCCCGGCTGTAAGAAATCTGAAGGTCACGCTGTCGGAGCAGGGCTCGGAGATTCGGCCGACGCCTTCCGAGGCGAGTCGGAGGGGATCGTGAGGACTTTCCCAGAGAACCCAATACACCTTAATTAAGGAATAGACCTAAAATTATGGGGGCCTTAATATTTTGATTTAAGGGTATATTCCTTAATCAAGGGTATTGGGTTCTCTGGGTTAAGGGCGCCTGGAGTGATTAGGGACGGAGGCCGAGTGGACAAAGTTGCACAAACCGAGAAGGGGGTGCCACTGGTGCTGTAATCGAAAGTGCGGACCACAGAATTAGAAAAACGAATGCCGTGCATGTTGCTACGCCCCCTTCTTTCTTCGAACCTCACCAAATCCCAAACTGCAACCCGATCCCAGGCCTTTCGTCGTATCTACCCTGTGGCCTCCTTGTCGCCGAGCGCGGGGGCTGGCGGCGCAGCCGTCCGCGATGCGGCAGAGCAACTGCTCAGGCAGCCTAGGGTGTCAACTGGATGCCTGCACGATATTTCTTGGACGTGGTGGACACCGAAATGATATACTCAACTAGTTTCCGCTGCTCCTTTCGGCAACAGATGGATGTGGTATGAGCGGGGCCACGTCGAACCCAAGTAAATGCCCTTGCCAGGACAAAATCACGACTCATGCTTCGTTCCCGGTCATGCGTTCTCCTAGTCGGAACAAGTCTCGAAGTTCCGACATGGAAGGTGCTGTGCGCGCGCGTGTGCGCCTGCTCCGACGGTATCGTACCCTAACCCCCGAGGTACCTACTATATAGGTTACTGGAGCCCCTAGGGCCCTTGGGCCCTATATAGTAGGTACCCAGGGGGTTAGGGGTAAAGCAGCATGCATAATCACTTGCACCGGAGCTTTGCTCTGGAAGGGACGTTCCAGAGCCATCCACACATCTCCACATGTTTCCTCTGACTCAACGCGACGATGGCAACTATGGATATTGCCCTAACCCCCCAGGTACCTACTACATAGGGTACTGGAGGTCCTAGGGCCCTACATAGTAGGTACCTGGGAGGTTAGGGTTGACTGACATTGATGAAGTGTGCCGAGAAACCATCCCGAACCTTGAAAAACACACACAAGTGGCCCATGCCTCGAAGGCATTTCGACCTTTGGGCCGAGGAGCTTGGGTGGAACCTTCAAAGACTTGAGACCACCATTGGCCCGCTGGGAGTGTGGGTATCCGTACGCAGAATTCGGACAGGAGTTTGGCTGTCACATGTCCTTACTCAGGCGCATTTCGGATCAGGCACCGTTGACTCGAGAAGCTAAAGAGCAGGATGTCATCGGTCAGTGGCATTCATATGAGCTCAGAGCGCACTGACCGAGTTGCGCAGAGAGTGAGCGGATGCTGCTTGCTTGCCTCAGGAGCCGGCGCCCCTCACTGTGCTCCCTTCAAGGCAAGACGACGGAGTATGGTTTCCCGGAGCACTTCGGGACTTCATGCTTGTTTGTCCCAAATCACAATAGAGCCATCTGAAAGCTGAGCTTCAGAGGTCAGCGATGAGCCGGTTTGGGTGATCCCAAGCATTGCGGCTCTTCAGCCTGCAGGAACCAACAGTCTCGGATCTCCGTCTGGTCGCAGGTCTCCAGCAAGCTCTTCAGCTGGAACGCTGCAATTGCGACTCCAGCACAGAGAAGGCCTACCAAGAGAGTGCAGTTCGGATTCTGTGCAAGTGATCACTCACCCAGAGATGCAAGACAAGGTTAGTCTGCCTTGTGCGGGAGAGGAGCTTACTCGCCTGAGTGGGGGTTTTTGCTTGCAACGTTATATTCTGACCGCCGATGGACTCCAGGCCACGAGGGAACCCTCTCCGTGCGGTCGCCGCAACTTCCTGCCCCGGCTGCCCAGTGCTCCACTAGGACGCCGCCCAGCACTGTGGCCAAAACCTTAACCTGTAGGTACCTACTATATATAGGGCCCTATAGGGGCTCCAGTACCCTATATAGTAGGTACCTGGGGGGTAAGGGGAAAGCTGGCAACCAGGCCATTGCGTCCATTGGTCAGGTACCTCGCAGCTCCGCGGCTTGCTGCTGTCGTCGCAGCCATGGCGCAGGCACCTATTTGCCGTTCGGGGTTTAGGCGTCAGTATCGGAATCCTTCGGAAGCCGTTATATTCATAGGTGTTCTTCTGAAGGGAGTACTCGTGTTTGTGTTTGCAGATTGCAGTCCTCAGGGTTTGCAGTCTTGACAGTCTTGCAGCTCACAAGTGCTGCCCCGGATCTAACTGCTGCAGTGCACATCATGCACACAAGGCAGAGAAGGCACGAATTCATGGCTTCGGGCATGTTAGAAAGATGACGGATGATGAGATTCAAGTCATGGATCACTTGCTGTTGCTTTAGACGAGACCTGAGACGAGGACTATGCCTCTGGCAGCGATTGCCTTCTCTTGGGCCCTGCTGGGTGCGGCAAGAGCGCCATGGCCAGGCAGGGCGTGGGGCTTGCGATTTCGAGGTTCCATAGAGG